CGGCTGCCTTTGAGGGCAACAATTGGCCGCAATGGGACGTTTACTTTTTGGATCTTTGGCAGATCACAGAAGCGAGCCAGGGCAGTCTCTGTTGATTTCATCAGGCACCGTTCGTTCTCAGTGATCACATCACGGGATTACATCACGGGATCTGCCACGCGAACGGTGGTAAATAGTGAGTATACATCCAATGAGAGCATCTTACTTTCACCAACGTTCTTATTTTTTATGGCTTCAACAAACTCAAACGTGTCTTTAAGGCTTTGAGGATATAGGTCACTCTCAAGTGGTTTCAGCTTTTCTACCAGTCATTTGGCAATGGTAAGATAAGGTGAGTTTCTCATATCCAGTGACACCCAAAGCTCAGTCGCGTACGTGAAAGACGTGACAATTAAAGCAATACTATCTGATTTACTGGCTACCCAGGTAAAACACGGATCTTGAGGTTCTGACCGAATATCTTGGTAGGTCGCAAGATGGGGAAAACGTCGGTTTCATCTGATACTCTTGATATTTCATGTTAAAGCTGGTCAAACTTTTAAAGGCTTAAGGCTTATTCCGGATTATTACATGATTTCAGGACAATCATTTCTCAAGAATTAGCAACTCTGTGAGCGAAAACCACAAAATGTATTCACGGTATTCTAAGCCATGGATATGTGAAGTATGTCAGTCGAGGGCCTTATTTCTAGCAGCATTGTGGCCGACTTGCCATTGACCCTCACCACAAATTTAAGTTCTTTTCCTTATAAAAGTGTACGAAGTAGTCCCAAGAATGTACGATCAGTTATTCATTGTCCTCATGTATAATCGGTGAGGAGAAGGAAACCATTCAAGGCAGACTGGCGGAACGTTGGTTAAGATTATCTCGTAAAACATATGGCGTTTGTTTTTTCTCATATCACAAACAGTAAAGCGCGTCGGGTGAAACGATTGTCGTGTATCTGCGCCGCCTACGTTTACTGTTGCGCTTACTTGATTTCCTTTAGCACTAGAGCCACACCAGGGTAATTCTCAACCACTCATGGTCCACTGCTCCACTAAAGTGAGCAGTGGCAACGCTTAACTCCTGGGGGTGGCAACCACATGCAGGTAATCAACGAAAGCCGATAGGTGGAATGCAACTGTAAACATATCAGGATGTCAAGGCTGTTGGAATTTCGGCAAATTTCTAACTTATACCAGTACTCCGGTCAGGTGTTGGGTAAGAAGAACGACGGCTGCAAACCGCGTTGTCAATGTAAGTTTTCCAAGTGTAGGTTCATGCCATTGCGGTCGGAATGTTCCTTTTACAAGATATGATTTAGAAAAGCCCTTTACTTATTTCTGATAGGTCCATCAGGGTCTGTTCTCCTTGATCTGTGTTTTGGTCTAAGTGGTGTGTAGCGGTCTCACGTTGTGCCAACATATCTATCCTTCTGTTGATTGAGTAGACATTATATTGCCAGACCTCTCAACATGCCGAAGTTTGCAAACTATTTATAAGCACACCGAAAACTACCCTAAGGCAACTACGAAAACTTACAAGTAATTATGAACAACCCTGCGCAAACTTGCTACGTAAAGAGGTATGAGAAGTCCTAATTGATTGCTAATTAAAGTCAACATTTTTCTATAATCTCTAAGTTCCATAGACGTAAATAAAAGCTAATGGAAGCATAGTAATCTTATATCTTATCATCACGATAACGCTGAGCGATAACAGTTGATACCACAAGGCGTTTTTTAGTCAATTTTGTTTAACATGTTACTATTTAATTTCAATTACTTTTTAAAACGTTTCTTAGGGTAAACGAGTCACGTTGAATCAATTTGAAACAACTTAAATTTCACCTTATACTGGATTTCTTGCAAATAAAAAAGGGTAGTTACGTAAATGACTACTTTTGAACTAATAGTTATTCTCCTGTCTGTTCCATTTCGAAGCCACACATAAGCAGAAGTTATAATTTACAAAAAAGTATTCGGTCGAAGAAGTTTTTTGGTAAAATGTTGTTTATTGAGTGAATTTTCGACAGTGGCTCACCAGGTCGTCATCAGACGGATGGGCATCGTACGAAACAGTTAATCCACACTGATGGCTAACATAAGCTTATATATCGGGTCGGGATAAAACATTGGTAATTGTCACCCGCATTTGATTGTGCGGTCAGTGGGGAAGAACTATTTTCTTGCAAAAATAATACGCATTTCTCTGAGTAAATAAAACTAAACAGGGTGATTTACCCAACTGAAAGGTTTTCCCAAAATAAAAGTCAAAGATAGGATCAACATATCGTGATTGCCTTTAGTGACCCCTACCAGTCACACGCTGAATAAAGTTAACTGATGGGCGATGATCCAAACTGAAAGGATTTCGCGTATCAAGTCCACTAAGTGAATCAGAATAAGGTAACTAAATATATGCTTAATTATCAAGACAAATTTCACCAAGAATGTTGCATTGTTTAATATATTATTTTATACTGCATTGCATATACTATATTGTATAACATAGGATGTTGTATTACGTATTATTCAGTCTCATCTGTGCTGTCTTCATTTAATTTGTACCCTGTACTTTAGAAAGAAGAACAAAAGGAGAGATTTCTCAACAATTTCCAGTCACAATACCTACGAAATGGTTGCAAAGTTGTGCATTTGGGTCGCTATGCTGGCACTCCTCATTACATTCCTCATGTTTTTATCTTCATTCTATCTAAAATTGAACGAGCCCCTAATCTTGCACAAACATGAAATCCAGAGGTTTGTTGTGGATAGCGGACGGACTAAAGCGAAGCGTCAGCAGTTGCCAAATCTGGAGCAGCTCGACTGGCCAGAACTAGAATATTTGCCTGCTCCGCTGGGTGCGCCGGGAACAAAACAAATTCTATGGGAACCACAATACAGCCGCAAACAGATGCGTACACAATGGAAGCTATTCAGTGCTTTTGTCAACTTCATGGAGGAACTGGGTTTGAGTGACAAATGGATGATCTGGGGTGGCAGCCT